GCGCGTCCAAGCCCGCGATCGGAGACGCCCCGGGCGGTGCCATCATCAGGTCGGAGAGCTCGCCCTTAAAGTCCTCGTGCTGACTGAGGGGGGCCCTGGAAAAGGTGACTGCGTACTATCCAATCGTCCTTCTTGCGGATGCGAGATAGGCGCGCTGCCGAGCGGCCCCATGGCAGCAGATCTCCTCGCAGACAAAGTCGGGCCCGAGAGCGCGCCAGCAGCCCCATCTGCTTTTGCCCCTCGACCCGTGGCGTGACCAGGTAGAGGCCCCCCTCGCCAACCTCAGGCCTCGTAGTCTTGCCCCGGCAGCCGACCTCCTGGAGGATGGCCGCGTCGTTGTCGCGCTGCTCGCGCAGCGTCGCCGCGCAGTGCTCGGCGCGGTGCTTCGCTATGCCCTGAGCATTCCAGCTGACGAGTTTGAAGCTCACCTGCTCCTCGGACTCCTCTAGAATCCTCTCCTTGTTCAGTCATTGGCCTGCGTTGACCTAGGCCTAGAACTCGACGAGGCTGAGGTGCGCGCCCGTGTGGGCGCTGATGTCGGCCGCAACGTGTTCCTTGAAGCTCATGAGGCCCGTGGTCTTGACCATCTCGCCGAACCCGTGCTGTTTCCACCGGGTGATGCCACGAATGTTGTCTAGCTCGAGGTCGCCGCCCGAACGCCCGGGTTGTCGGTCATCTCCTTCTTCGCGCGCGAGATCATCCCAGACGACCGAATTTCCTCCGAGGACATCTCCACAGAGAACCAAAAGCGACGACCCAGGTGATGCGGCGGCGGCATAGTAATCTGCCCCCCCCCCCCCCCATCGTCGAGCGCACCCAGGCCCGCATGCGCCACGGACTCGCGAGACGGACCTTCAGGAAACTGGCGCGCTTGAGCGGGACAAGCACCCCATCTTCTGCTTTGTCGGGGATGGCGTCGGTAAAAGCACGAACCTCGTTCAGGATGGTGTCGCGGGGCGTGTCGCGCTCTCTTCGGCCCCGGCGCAACCGGCTGTGCCGACGCGCCCCCGACCCCAGAAAAGCGCAGCGGATGCCCAATCGATGAAGCCGCCGTGGATGAGGGAGCCGCCGAACGTCCTTCGCGCAGGTCCTTGAGCTCCTGCTCCATGTTGTTGAAGCGCCCTTCGTGCCTCTCGACGCCCCTGCGCACGTTGCCGATGGACGTCTTTACGTCCGCGATTTTGTTCGCCAGCGGCTCCTTGATTTCGGAGCGAAGCATCTCTCTGAACTGCATCATCATCGTGGGTCCGTCCATGGCTGCTGGCAGTGGTGCGGGCTCGCGTGAGCGGCTGCGCGAGCCGATCGACTGTTAGCACGAGGAGGCAAAACCGTGAAACAGATGGCAGCTGCGAGCCCCAGCCCATGCCGCCGCTTGAGCCAAAATGGCCAAGATGGTTGTGATGATGATGATGATGATGATGATGATGATGATGATGATGTGATGATGATGGTGATGATGAGTGGTGAATAGTAGTTGTGAATGAGTGAGTGAATTGAAGACTGGATGTGTGCGAATGTGTAAGTGGTGGTGGCGCACTGATGCTGATGATGCTAATGATGATGTGAATGTGTTTGTGTGTGAATGAGAGGGGAGGGGTGTTCCTGTTCCTGCGCGGGGTGTCCAGAGGAAACAAGAACCCTACTTTGGATGTGGGGAACGAGAAGGGATGGGTGGGAAGGGTAGGATGTCAGCTCTGGCGCGAGCGCACGTAGCTTGTCCTTTTTTCTCTCCATTTACCCCCTCCCTCCCTTGCTCCTCTGTCGCCTCCCGTGATCCGGAAACTATCAAATCCTCATTCGAATGCAATGGCGATGACTTCGGCGTTGCTGTCTAAGTCCGTGTGGATCGTTCAACCTTGAACGATCGCGACCGTTCGATAGAGCAGACCGTTCGATCTTGGCCAATTCTGGGCAACTGGCGGCGTTCGATCTTGAACGCCCGCTCTGGGGTCGTCGCCGCGTCAACGCGGTGCGAATCTACTGCGCCCAATCGCCTGGTCTACCCTCCCGAACCTCAAATCCGCTTCGCGCCCACGGTCAAATCGAAGCAATCCGCTTTCAAAGAGTACGTTCCCCTCATTCATGGATCCCCCTGCCTCCGCCACGTCCCCTGCTCCCCCAGGTCGCGCGGGCACAGTAGCTGCCGGGACGGTCCTCAACTTGTGCAACTCCTCGTTGCGCTCCTTGGGGTTCGGACAAACCGGAAGGCCAGACGTCGCTAAGGATCACAGGATGATCCAAAAGCTTCCCACAACGGCCCAAAACCAACCCTCAACATGCCTCGAACATCGCCCAACATGACATAAATCGCGGGTCCATCGAACTAAAAACGCATTAGATCCTGGCCGGCGCGGAATCGGAACGAGCGCTTCCAGAACTTGCCAGAGACGGCTCATGGCGCCGTCCGCATTTGGGAGCCTGGGCGTTAAGAGCTTTTTCACGTAGTTAACCGTTCGCTCTTGGCAGCCTTGCCTCTCGCTCTTTGGAGTTTTGGCGATGAGAGCTGTTTACGTCACTGTTCGCTTGGGAGCCTTGGCGTTAAGGGCTGTTTGCGTAACCGTTCGCTCTTGGGAGCCCTGGCGTTCAACTCGTGTATCGAAGGTTTTCCAATCCCATGGGGCTCTTGGGAGCCCTGGCGTCAAAGCTGTGTCCGTCACTGGGCCGTCTGAGGGCGAGAACCTCGGCGTCAAAGCTGTGTCCGTCTGTCCGTCTCTGGGCCGTCTTTTGGGCCCTCCTGGAAGGCCTCTTGAGAAGCTCTTGCCGGCATCTTGGGAGCCTACTGGGGGTCCATTGGGGCGCTTTGGGCCGTCTTGGTGGCCTCCTGTAGGCTTCTGGGGCAATCTTGGTGCCCCTTGGGCCTTTTCCTGGCTCCCCTGGGCCTTCTGTGAGTGAGCTCTCTTGGCCCCTCTTGGAGGCCTCTTGTGCAATCTTGGGGCCCTCTTCAGCCGTGTTGGAGATCTCTTGGGCCGTCTTGGGGCGATCTGGGAGACCCCTCAGGTCACCTTAGGCGGTCGGATACCCCAAAAGGCGAGATGGCCAAATACCTTGAACAATAGCAACATCAACGGATGCTGCATCTCGCGGCCCTTTTGGAAGTCTCTTGGAGTCCTCGTGGGGCGTCTGTGAGAGGCATGGTGGCGGGATGGCCCAAAGGCTGGCCACTGGCAGAACAGGGACTCCCCTCCCCCCCGGCAGAATAAGGACCGGAGCCTCGCGCAGCTCGTCCGTGAGCCGGCCTCGCCGTCACCACCGCCAAGAACCAATTCAGCAGACGGGCAAAACTAAAACTCATTCCTGCCGCAGCATCGCTGCGTCGTGTTATGAGAAAACGAAGCACCTACACGCACACACACAAACACGCACACACACACACGCACACACACACACACACGCACACACACACACATAACGCATGCACGCACGCACACACGCACACACACACACGCACGCACGCACGCACGCACGCACGCACCGCACGCACGCACACACACACACACACACACGCACGCACGCACGCACGCACGCACGCACGCACGCATGCATGCACGCACGCACATTCACACACACACACACGCACGCGCACGCGCACGCGCACGCGCACGCGCACGCGCACGCGCACGCGCACGCGCACGCGCACACGCACGCACGCACGCACGCACGCACGCACGCACGCACGCACGCGCACACGCACACACGCACACACGCGCACACACGCACACACGCACACACGCACACACGCACACACGCACACACGCACACACGCACACACGCACACACGCACACACGCACACACGCACACACGCACACGCACACACGCACACACGCACACACGCACACACGCACACACGCACACACGCACACACGCACACACGCACACACGCACACACGCACACACGCACACACGCACACACGCACACACGCACACACGCACACACGCACACACGCACGCACGCACGCACGCACGCACGCACACACACACACACACGCAAACACACACACGCACGCACGCATACGCACGCATACGCACGCATACGAACGCATACGGACGCATACGCACGCATACGCACGCACCTGATGCACACGCACACGCACACGCACACGCACACGCACACGCACACACATACACACACACACACACGCACACGCACGCGCACGCGCACACGACGCACACGCACACACTCACATAATAGAACCATCGCGCACGCTTCGCGCGCGCTCAAGTTGTAGCTAGGCTTGATGGGCGAACGCATTGAATCTCATCCTTGTTGTTTCTTGCATCCAAGGACTCTCTTGGAGGTCCTGCGCAAGCGTCGGAATCGTATAGAAAAGAACTGCGGAAACGCAAAAACATTCCCGGGCAGGCTGCGCTGCCCGGCGGAAGGGGACGAGGAGGGGAGAAGCAGGCAGACGACGACGAACGCCCAGGCGGGCAGGCCCAGAGGCTGGCCATATTAGATATTCGGCATATGCTGCGATAATCACGACGGATGGTGTCACCGCGCTGACATTTCAGAATCCGGGCGTGTTACGACACCCCTGTTTCGTCACTATGCCTCCATTGCCTCGGTAATGGATCCGTCTGAATGTGTCACAGTAGCACACGAATTGGGAACTGCTTGCCCATGCGATATACGAAACTGTCGGCACTCATAACTAAAAGATCCGGCACCCTAGTTCACGAGCGGGCAACCACCCACCTCTCCGATCCTTTTTAATTGTCGTCGCTGAACTCGCACACTTCGGACTTCTGCAAGGTCGAGCTCAGAACACTCCAGAATGGGGGAGACCTGCGAGAACTCCCCAGAGGTCTCGAATGGTCTCGGAGAAAGGCTGCTCTGACAGAAGCAATAGGGGAGCCAGAGAAGAAACACACGAAGCATCATGGCCTGTTCAACCCTGTCCTCCCTTTCCTGCCTTTGGTCTGCCCCCCAACTGGCAAACCCCCTGTCCCGTTGTCATCGAAGAGTATGGGTGGACAGGAGGCAGAGAGATGGTGTCGCCGAGCGCAGATCCTCGATTTTCTCGTTGAGTGTCTGGTTCTCGATCTTGAGCTGCTCAAAATCGATCACGTGCAAGTTTGCTGCTAGCTCGTCCTCCGTCGGACGACCGTCGAAACGCCTACTATTACGATGATGTGTACTGCACCAACATTGGGAAAGGGATGGGGAATGATCAAGAGGACGAGGAGGAACATCCGCCGAGCTCCGCTTGCCAGAGGTGGGAATGCGTGAGGAATGATTCGCTGTCCCCCTGGCCTCTCCCCCTCCCCTGGGATCCAAGACTCCAGAGCAGGGTCGGGGTGGGGAGGAGAGGGGGGGGGCAGGTGCAGGTAGTTTCTCGTCAACGCACCTCCAAGGCCCTCCGCGCCTCCAAATCCACCCTCCGTGGCCTCCAAGATGCCGCACACACATTCCTTCCAAGATGGTTCAAAAGAGCCAAAAAACTCTAGAGGAGGTGCCAAGAATATCCAAGATGGACTCACGATGACCCAAGAGGCCCCAATAACGCCCCAAGAGGGGTCCAAGAGGACTCCCAAGAGGCGCCGAAGCCTCCAGAGGATCCCCCCAAACCCCCAGGAGCCCTGAAGAACAACTCCCACAATGCCGCCCCCGAGGCCTCCAAGAGGCCCCCAAGGGGCCCCGCAACAGGCGCGGAGGAAGAGGAGTACGAATCGGCAGAAACTACACGCAGAAAGCACGACGGGAAACGGCAAACAACACGTCTGACCTCGGAGGCCGCGCACCTCCTCTTCTGGGGGCCGGCGAAATTATGTAGGCCTCTCGAACAAACATGATACCAGAGTGGAAGAAGAAGAAGAGGGAAAAAGGGGATGGTTGTTTGTCCGAGAGGCTCCAACTGCTGAGCCAACTGAATGCATGATGGCCACTCGCTGGCCAGGTGGTCAACCGCCGACATGACAGAAACGCATAATCCCACCAGCCCCCTGGGCGTGAGTGGTTTAGCGCGCTTCCTCTTGCAACCCCCTTCTTCTCCTTCGGGGCGCCCAGCTACCGATTGCAGCGCCACAGATAGACCCAGACTGCCCCAGGAGGGCCTGAGAGAGCCCAAGATGAATTCCAAGATGGCTCAAGCTGTGTCAAGATGGCTTCCCACAAACTCCAAGATGGTCCAAACCCGCTCCAAGACGGCTCCAAGTGGCCTCGAAACACCCGTAAGGACGCCCCCCTGGGTCCCAAATCCTTCATACTGCTTGTTGCTTGCTCGTCTTTTCGCTTCGGATGGCTTCCCGAGTTCTCAAGATGTCTCCAAGATGGCCCAAGAGGGCCCTACGAGAGGCCCAAAAGGCCAAAGAGCGCCCCAAAGAGGGCGCCAAGACGCGATTTGAGGTGCTATCGAGGGGCAATGCTAATTGCCCCCCCCCCCCCCCCCCCTCGTCCGATCGATCTCCTCCAAGATGGCTCCAGTATTGCCTTCGGGGCTTCCAAAATGGCCCCCAAATGGCCACAACATGCCCTCCAGGGCTCCCAAAATAGCTCCTGTGGGTCCCCGAGACGGCCTCGTTTGAGCCAATAAGGCTCCAATATGTCCTGCTTCCCCCTCTTCTTCTTCTTCTGGTTCTTTTACTGCTGTTGTATTAATATCATCATCATCATCATCATCATCACCACCACATCATCATCATCATCATCATCATCATCATCATCATCATCATCACCATCGTCGTCGTCATCATCATCATCATCATCATCACCATCACCATCACCATCACCATCACCATCACCATCACCATCACCACCACCACCACCACCATCATCATCATCACCATCACCATCACCACCACCACCACCACCACCATCATCATCATCATCATCATCATCGTCATCGTCATCGTCATCAGTATCATCATCCTCCTCAACATCAACATCACCACAATCAACATCGTTCGTATCATTATATTACTCTTCTTCTGCTGCTGCTTCTTCATCTCAATCCCCTTCCTCATCCTCTTTCGCGTCGCGCATCTTCCGTGCCCTTTTCATCTGCCTATCCTTCCTCTTCCTCCTCCTCCTCATCTCAAGACCGTCAACGCATATTCGGTTCACCACCAGGCCTCTTCAAACTGATCCCAAACTCTGGTTTGACGGATTTTCCACCTCTGTGTTCCACAATCTGCTTCCACGCTTCCCTGATCAAGGCAACTCGCCTGGGCTTCGTTGCTGGATAGGCTGAGGGGGGCTTTGTGCGAAGAGCCGATACTTGACACCACTGACGCGCAAGCAAGCACTCTCCCGCCCCCGCTCAAGGTCGAGCTGGGTATGTTCCGCCCTCGGGCAACAACGAATCAGGGGATGAAATCCGACGGTGTGCGAAAGGACAAGCGCACTTGAAAATCCACTGACCCCAGAGGCGCATGAGATTGTGGCGTGTGCCACTGGCGTGTGCCATCTGCGACATGGGCCGTCCAACTCCCCCCCTATCCTCGACATCCCGCCGATCACAAAGGCGTATGGTTAACCTTAGGATCCCCCAATCCCTCCCCAAAACAACCGGCTGCCCCGACCATGCCGCCACCACGCCGGCACCCCGCAACAATTCCCTGGGGACCCGTTCCAGGCCTCTGGGAATAACCTTAGGAGCCCGCATCCCCTCCCGAAAACACCGGTTGCCCCGACCCTGCCGCCACCACGCCCCAATCTCCCAACCTCGCGCCAATTCCCTGGGGACCCGTTCTGGGCGTTTTAGAGCAAGCTTAGCCCACAGCCCTTCCTTGGCCCCCCAAAAGACCTGTTGCCCCGCTTACGCAGGGTTGAACATGCCGACGCTAGCGTCTCATCGGACCGCGTTCCCACGCAGGTCGGCGCCATGGCAAGAAGCGCCGTCTCGGTCATTTCGCCGCGCCGCAGATCGACGTTTTTACGCGGGCAATGAGGCTCGGTGCCGCAAGTTTGGGGATGGAGACTCGCCGGGTTGGAGCGCCACATTCGCGTCCAAGTCAGCCGAACCAAGCCGCGCCACCCTCGCCGAGACTCCCCTATTCTACGCGCCCGGCACAAACGGCGCGTGAGCGAGCTGGGCGCGGGCGGGCGTGAGCGGATGGCGCGGCCAAGCGCGTCTGTTGTTTGGGGCGGCGTCGTTCCCCCCCAGCCGCAGTGAACCGCGACCACTTGCCAAATATTCGCTTTCTTTGTCTGCCCGCGGCGTTCGCGACGGGGCGCGATTCAATGTGGAACGCGTGGGGCGGAGGCCGGCGTCGGGCGAATTCGGCGGATTCTGCATTTTTCGGGGGCTCCTTGGGAAGCATCCTGGAGGCTTCTTGGGGCGGCTCGGAGGCCTCTGGGACAGTTAGGGTATCATTCTGGGGTAATTTCGGGCCGTCGTTGGTCGCGTTCGCGGTCTGGTAGCGCCATTTCTGGCGATCAGGGGCCGTCTTCGGGCGATCTTAGAAAGCCCCCAGCGCCCCGACAGGACCCCCGGGGCCCCCGGTCCCGCCATGCCCTGTCGAGGCCCGGGCCCCGGGCGCCTTGGGATACACGCGCACACATGTATGTATGTATGTAGGTCGGTATGTATGTATGTATGCATGCATGCATGCATGCATGTATGTATGTATGTATATCGCTCGTGCTTCCGCGCAGCACAATGTCCAACGACTTGCTGTACAGCCTTGTGAGTTGACAGGAAGAGCGCCCTCGCAGCTCGGGCGCTGTCCTCAATCGCTTCAGGAAGGGACCATCTTATAATGGGAAATTTCGCTTGTATATTACACGTGTGAAAAGCAATGACTGTGCGCTCTAGCGCTACACGCTGAGGAAACTCATCTGTTTCTCCGCTGCAGAGGCCCAGACGAGCTAGAATTGACTGTGGTGTGTGCACTTGCGAGTGCCAAACCGTGCACATTGCCTGCCACAGGCGCGGGCAGCGAACATAATGACACATAGAGTCCAAGGCGCGTGGGCCCTCGGATTGGAGGCAGCCGAAAACACAGGGGCTGCACACATCACTCGTGTGAAGGCGGCGGCTCGAGGTCCATCCCCCTGCCCAGGTCTTCAAGATGGCCGAGTGCGAGGCGGGCGAAAAGCCGGAGACGATCAGCTCTTTGAGCGGCTCCCATTCGATCTGTGAGAGTGTAAACGAGTCATCAACATTCGTCCAGGAGTTGAGACGAGAGAGGAGGTGACAGGAAGGCGGTCAGGGAGGAGCGAGTAGACAAGGTGGGAATGAATGAACTTCTGCATGCACAAACGATCACTAGGGCGTTCCGCCAGGAGGCGGGCTTTTTCCGCTTTCCACTCACTCAACGCATCGCCGCACGCTGCGGCCATAGCACGATTCTTCTCATTGGGGAACCCCTGCGCCGCTTCCTCGAGCGCGAGGGCAATCGGCTTCGACTTCCAGTGGGGTGAGGCGAACAAGCCGAACGTGCGGTCGTGAAACGAGAGGCCGACCTCCGCCGCGAGGCGCAGACGCCGTGCCCAGAACGGCCAGTTCAGCACTGAGTCGGCGGCACTGCGCATCAATGCCGCGCGGTTGTTGAGCTCGAGGGGGACCGCCGTCAGCGTTGACCAACGCCCCAGCGCCAGTAGATCATCTCGGGGAAGCGCTTGGGGGGGCAAGTGCCAGATACGATGCAGCGCCCAGCTTTCTTTCTTCTTCATCTTCTGCAGCCGCGCAAAGAGCTGACTGAAGTACGGGGTCTTGCTCAAGGCGCGCTGGTTGTAGAGCATCAACGAAGCGCTGGTCGGGGCTCCGACGTCGGCAATCAGGTTGGTGGACCGCTGCCAGGCCATGATGACCTTCTGCCACCTGAGCGAGTCATCAATACTGGGGCCCAACAACATACCAAGGTACTCTGCCATATCCGTGATCGTCATGTCCCTCCAACGCGGTGCGAGCTCCGTGATCTCGGCGCGCGCCCTGTCCTCCGCCGCTGGAGTGAAGGCTTCCGCCAGAGGGATGATCTTGCATTTCGCCGTCTTCAACGCTTCAGGGCCCCGTAGACCCGGACACGCTAGACCCAGACGCCCAACGCCACTCGAAACCAATTTTTCCAAACGGCGGCGCGAACAAATACTGCGCCGCAGCATTTCCATAATAAGCCCGGGCGCAGGCCCCAAAAGCCTGCAAGCCCCCAAGGCATAAAAAACCCGGACACAAACCCTAATCCTGCAGTGCAGCAAACAAAACGTGCACGGGCGCTCAAAAACGTGACTTTGCAGGAATGGATGTCGTTACCTTGGTTTTCCGTGTCCTGGTTTATCTGCGCCCTGGTCTCTGGGGGCCTGAACACTAGGCGCGCCAGGGTCTCCGCCGCATCGAACGCACTGCTCATAGGGCGAAGCGTCTTCATCGACGGAATCACGCTGCCCACGTCGTCGGCGCAGACGCCGATGACCGCCCCTTTGGAGTTCACCGTCCGCGAGTGCATGTCTCTGATGACCGGGCCCATGCCGACCGCCCACGGCGTGCCCGGCCATGGGCGCCCCTCGAGGATGCCCGAGGCGAGGGCGCAGAAGATCTCGCTGGCGCCGCCGAGGTTGGCGAAGGCGACGGGCAGGAGGTAGATTGCATCAATCATGTTGCGGGTGCCCTCTGGGAAGCCATCACTCCCCAGCGCCATTTTGAGCCGGGTCCTGCGCATCGACGGGAACGCTTCGCCGAAGTCGTAGAGTACCATGAGCATGTCTTTGTCCATCGGGTCGTCTTGCATGGCGACAATGCGAGGCGGTGCATCCATCGCAGCCGCGCGTTCTATGAAGCGCCGCTTCGGGAGGAAGCTTTTCTGCGCACCATGGGCCCCCTTCGCGACTGTCGGCTTCATCAGCTCATTGCCCATGGCAGCCACTACCTTGCAGTCCGTGTTCTTCAGGGAGAGGGGTCTCGTAGCCCTTGGCCTCTCTGGTAGCCGTGAGGCCATCATCAGGTTCCGATCCTTTCGGGGTGAATATCATAAGCGAGCCGTTGGAGTCTAGCGGCGCAGGGGAACCTTTCATTACCTCGAGCGTCACGTCGAGCAGAAGCTGCACCGAGGAGGGGATGCGCTTCCAAGCCGTGTACGGAATGCCGGCAGGACCTGGCGCCGAGTTGTTGAGCTCGCGCATGAGGTTCTGCGTCTCGCCAATCGTCGGGATGTCCATCTGGGAGCAATCGTGGGGGATGGTGTGCTTGTCCAGGTAGCGCCGCACGTGCTTGATGTGACTCGGCTTCGCCTGGAAAACGGGTGACTACTGACGCCGAAGTTCGGCAATCATGTCTTCGGGCTCCTCAGTGGTGCTGTAGTCGTGTAGGACCTCAATGGCTTTGAGCTTCAGCACTTTGCCAGTGGGGGCCAAGAGCTTGCCGCGCTCCGGGATCGCCCTCTGCATCTTGCGGAGGCGTTGTCGCTTGAGGTGGGGGGGGTGTCCCTCGCTTGCTCCTCCTGCTGCATGGCCTCCGCCCGCTGGTCCAGGTGCTCTCTCTGATGCTGCTCGAACGTGCAGCGGAAAGTCCCAGGCTCGATCAGCGCGACGTTGTTGCTGTCAGTGGTGTCCAGGAACTTCGCGCCCAGCTTCGTGCGTGCACGTAGTGGGCGAGCGCTCTTCTAGTCATTCCTCCAGGCAGCCCTTGGTGTCGCCCTGCATGTCGTCAGGGCGGCCGCCGAGCATGGCGCGTGTGCGTCCGTCAGGTCATTGCGTGTCACCCTGGCCGCCTCGCGGATGAGGCGTTTGAATTCCTTGAGGCGGATGGAAGGCGGGTGGTTGACCACATCAGCAGCATCGCTCAGCAGGTCGAAGTATTTGGTGAAGAGGGGGCCCTCGAAGATGTACTGTGGGATCGGCTGGGGCTCAGCGTCCTCAGGTGCACGTGCTGCGAGCCGCAGGTGAACTGGGGCGCGGTCGGAGATGGCCCCTGTCGAAGAGGGTGTCAGGCGCCGCGGGCGTGTCCACCTTCGCGCGCCACTGAATCAGCAGCCACGGCAGGGAGCTGATGTATATCTTGTCAATCCGCGCGCACTGCTGCGAGCGCACAGTGTAGTGCGTCGGTAATTCTGGGTCCAGCTCGACCATGTCGCCCAGAGCTTGTTCCCATGGCAGCTGGCGTTCGGGGCGATGATTTCGCCGTCGAGGGAGGCCCTCGTTGACCAGCGGCGCCGTCATCTCGAGCGGGGCCTCATCCATGAACTTGAAATCACCCGTGGCGAGCGCGGTGGCCTGCTCGGGCTGCTGCTCAGCGATGCTGAGCTCGGCGCGGATCGAGCCCCTCGTGCGTTGGACCTGTTCCGCGGTGAGCTGGAAGTTGCGGGCGTTGTATATCGCGATCATGTTGGGGAGCGCGCCCTCGCCTGCGCCGGCTACGTCCGACTTGATCTGGAGCCGCTGGACGCGTCCAGAGATGGGCTCCGAACGACGGAAACGATCGGGGTCAGCAGCTTCATTCGGCGACAGCCCAGGGATGAGCAGCGCTACACCACCAGCGCCACGATTAGGAACGGAGGCGAAGCATGCCGCGGTCTTGTGGCTCAAATGGATCTCGTGGCAGAGCCCCGCCTCCGAGCCATGGACCTCCTGCAGCGCCAGCGCCGCCGTGGAGTTCATCACCTGCATCATGAACGAGATCTTCTTCTTTCTCTTGATGGGGCCCCTGCAGAGCCCCCGAGTTCCACGTTGCGAAAGAGACCGACTTCGCAGATTGCATCCCCCGCCAGGGGGCTAAGGTCCTGTTAAATCTGCCACTGGACGTCCTGCGCGTCGAGCGAGGTCTGGAATAACTGTTCGAACTGCGCGCGGACCTCCTCTCGGTTGAGCCCATGTTGGAGGCAACCGCTGTAGTTGTAGAGCAAACGGGTGGGTTCATCCTTGGTGGACCCCACTGCGATGGAGAGGACTGGCGTATTTTTGCCGTGGACGATGCCCTGCTGACGGTCACCTCGCCACCGCTTCGTGGCGTCTTGTGCCCTGCAGAATTGGGTGAGCTTCTTGGTCTGGAATTCCCTCCGTGCCGCTTGCCCTGAGCGGTCGAGGCCGAGGTAGAGTCGGGTTGCATGTCCGTGTGCACTTTGAACTTCTGTGCTGAGCCATTCGCCATCTGGACCTTTGAGCTTGCTGTAGAAGGCCCTGACCTTACGAGCCGACGCGTTGGCGTCTCCATTGAACTGAATGAGGAAACGCCGAGTGGGGCTCTTCCCGACCACCTCCCAATCAGCCTCGCTGAGTTCGCACTTGTCCATGATCGGTTGGATGCTGTGCTTGAGCTGGTCCGCTGCGTGATTCTCCGCTGCCGTGCCAACGATGATCCTGGTGTCTGCCGCTCTGTCCCACTCAATGAAGTTCTCGTAATCCTTGATCGGGGTCTGCGCTTCTTGCATGTGTAGCCGCTGTCGCATTTCTGCAACCTGAGCTCGTAGGTCTCGTTGATCTGCTTAGAGTTTTGATGAGGCCGCCTGTAGCGAGTGGATCGGTCCCGTGAACTGCTCGTTTTGCTTCTGCTGTTGACCGACGACAGCGCCCAGGGGTCCTCTGAGCTGCGTAGCGAACTCTGCGATGACCTTCTGCTTGACTGTGGCCAGCTTCGCGACAAGCTGCGCTGTGAGGAAGTCCTGCGAGGCTCGGATTGCGGCGTTGACGGCGTCCATGGGGTCGAGCAGCTCGGATGAGGTGGAGGCGTTGGACGCCGCACTCCGTTCGGCAGCTCCCTCTGCACGTTGTCGCTTGGTTCCTTCAGCGACTGCACGAGCAGCTGGTTCTCTCCGCGGGTCGTGCTCATGAGCGACATCAGGGGGACCAGAGGGGACGACCACCTCCACGATGATGAGGTCCTTCGCTCGCTCCAGCACCAGGGGGTTGGTCAGCAGGAGCAGCAGTGTCAGCAGAACCACCTCCACGACGAGCCGACATTCGCGGGGGCCACAGAGTGCCTGGGGCTGACCAAGACTTGGGATATGGATGCCGTGGGCGGACCTGGACTTCTGAATGCGGATGCCGGGGGCGGACCTGGACTTGGAAACGCTTGGAACTCGGGCTGGGAGCCTACCCCGCGAAGGCAGTTCTGGAGAGAGCGCCATTTGGCCTTGAGCCAAAATTGCTACGGATATGTATGTCTGTATGTATATGTATATGTATGCATATGTATATGTGTGTATCTATATATACACACATACTAGAACCATCGCGCGCGACTCGCGCGCGCTTAAGCTCTAGCTAGGCTTGATAGGGGATCTCACGTAATACCATTTTGGTCGCTTCTTGCGTCCAGGAGCTCCCTCGGATGCCCTGCGCAAGCCTCGGAATCGTATAGAGAGGGAGCTGCGGAAACGCAGAAATCATTCATTCGATTTGGGGTCCTCAAAGGCTTCCCGATTTTTTGGGGGGGTGGAGGTGAGGGGGGTCTCGAATTGCGGTCTGTTGTGCAAGAGTAGACCGGGGGCCAAACTTGAAAAAAAACCGCTGTTCGGCGCTGTTTTTTGTTTGTGCCTCGCGGATTTTGTCAGCCGGGCCCCTCAGGGGTGTGGGATCTTCCGGACCCCCTGGGGGTTTGGGAGGCCTCCTGGGTGCCTGGAGAGCCGTCGGAAGGGTGTCCCGGGCTGCGCGGAAGCCTGTTGTTTACGTTCTGTGGGCTTCTTGGGGTCGTCATGGGCTGTCCTTTGGCGTCTTGGGGTCTCCCCCCGGGAAGCCGGGAGGCGCGGTACTGGCCAGATGTCAGGGGATGTGTAAGGCCCCCGAATAGGAGTCCCACTTTGAAAAAAAATAGGGAATTCTGGGAATTCTTTTTTTATTCAAAATCCTCGATCTTCGAGGGTTGGAAGCGGGAAAACGTGAGAAGGCGAACAACATTCGAAACACCATGGGACATCAACGATTTTACCCTCTTTGGGCTCTCTCGGGACGGCTCTCGCAGCTCTCTTGGGCTGTTCTTGGAGCCTCGTCGGGGTCTTTTTAGGGCCTCTCAGGGATCGGGGGTGTGTTGGGTGCCTCTGGGGACCGAGGCCTCTCGGAGGTCTCTGGAAGCCTCCTGCTCCAGCTCTTGGGCCCATCTTGGGCCTGTTCTGGGGTGGTCTGGGATTGTCCTGGGCGTGGAGCCTTCTGGGCCCGTCTTGGGGCCGTCCTGAGGGTCTCTTGGGTGGTCTTGGGGCGGTCTTGGGAGCCACTTCGGCGCTTTTGGACCGTTGGAAGCTCGAAAACGCGAGAAGCCAAAAACATTGAACAATACAATGGGAATCTACGATTTTGGCCTCTTCGGGCCGTCCTGGGACGCCTCTCGGACCTCTCTTGGGGTCTCTTGGAGGTTACCTGGGAGCCTCGAGAGCCGTCGGAAGGCTGACTTGGGCTGCTTGGGAGCGTCCTGGAACATCCTTTCGCATTCTGGGCGCTCCTGGGAATCGTCTTGGGCCCTCCTGGAGCGCTGTGGAGGCTCCCCGGAACGCCCGGGAGCGTCCCCCAGATGTCGCAGGGCGATGTGGCACTCGGGGCCAGGGGGGGACGGTATTTATTTGATTTATAGGTGTGTATGTATGTATGTACAGATTCGTACTGGTTGCAAAAAAGGGTTGGGTTCGTGTGGATTTCCACTCGGATTGTTTGTGTGAGTGGAAAAATGGAAGAACCAACCAACTATGTAATCAATTGACTACGTCTTACCCTCCAAACTGCTTCTGGCTCCCTTTCCGAGGGAATCATGTTGTGGGGGATTTACATGCTGACTCCTACTGTGTAGATTACACATAGAATCCTATTGTTGGGCTTTACATTCGAATTCCTTTTGAGAAAGGTTCGCAACATGGTTCCTAGTGTTCGGATTACACATGGAATCCGTTTGCTCGGTTCTGCAATCGGATTCCTTCTGTGGGGGATTGACACATGTCTTCTTACTGTGCGGATGACATATCTATACTCGTTGTGTGCGGGTTTACCATGGGATTTCTTTTGTGGACAGCTTACAACGTGAATTTTGATAGCTTGGGTTTTCTGAAGCTTTACACGCACACAAACTTGTATAATACCTAGTGCTCAATGATTCAATCTTGACGAAGTTCAGTGGAAACGATTTGCTGAGACAGACGCCACGCAATCCACCAAAACAACACATCAAATCAGGAGAGGCTGAGAGGCAGCACTGGGAACGTCAAGATTCCTAGTCGTTCTTCGCGTGGGCCAGACGGGTTACCCCCTCTCGCCGAACAGAAATGCTCTGTTGGAATTGTGGTCGCCCCTCCCCCTTCCTCCGCCGCCACCTCCTTCTCCTCAATCCTCCTGCCCCGCTGCCCCATTTCCCATCCTTCCGCCTTTCTCCTCCTCCATCGTGGGGGACGAGGGCGGCATGGGGATAACCAGCCTGGCGGTTGTAACGAGGGTCTCCTATACACGAGCATGGCAGCGAAGCGTCGCGAAGGCGATCCCTCTGAGACTACAACAGCCCAGAACACGCAAAAGGCGGGGTACCATGGAATTCGCCCCCCGGACATTGAGCTCGACTGGGGGCGAGGAGTGGGAGGACGACAACATGAGGGAGGAGGAAGAGGTGGAGAAAGGGGAGGATGAAGAGGAGGGGGACACAAGGAAATCGAGTGCGAGAGAACAGGTGGGGGAAGAGTCGCGAGAAAGGGTGAGGGGTGAGGCTGGAGGACATGCGCAAACTTGGCGCCGCGGTCTGGACAATCTCCGACATGGCCCTTGTGGGGATCGCGTCCTTCTTGCGCAGGAGCTGCTCGAGCTTGGCAAGCCTAGGGGTCTTTCTGACTGCCTCCTCCATCTCATTGGCTCCGTCCCTGCATCCGCTCCCCTCTCCCCTCCTCTCTTCTTTCTCCTCCTCTCGCCCACCTCCCCCTTCCGCTTCCACTTTTTTCCCCTTCCCTATCCCCTTCCCTCCTGCCCTTCCCATCCCCTCCTCTGTTTGTGACCGCTCCACCTCGTCCTATTCCCACTCGCCTTCGCTGAACGCGAGACGTTTTACTTTGCTTACCCCCGAGCCTATTTTTCAGGGAGATGTTGGAGCCGCGCACCTCCTCCACTTCTGCGTCCTCGCTCGCTGGCCGAGTAGTTTCAGGGCGACGAGCCACAATGCACGCATGGGGGCGAGATGGGCAGGACGTGCTCGGGGGAAGAAGAAAGCACGGAGTGAAGGACGACCGGACCGAAACGGGGACAATGGCGGCAGAGAACAACAAAGAGGTGGCGCGCAATGCAGGCCGTCACTCGTGACCACCAACCAATATGGGCCATATCATATGGCCATTCGCGCAAGGACAAATCGCTGCAAGACATCCCTGGTGACTTCGAACTTCTACTGAACTTTCAAAACTATGGCAACTCAACTCCGAATTCTCCCTATGCAACGCCGACGTCGTTCAATCGACGTCCGCAAACCTTTCACCGACTCAATTGAGCTCGAGTTCGCGAGGACCTTGTATAACCAGGGGGACGAACTCAATATCTGGCGCGCCCCCTGACCACTCCTCCTCCTACCCCCCCCCGCGGCCTCCATCGATTCTCCATGGGACGGAGGAGAGCAAGTACGGGAAAACGAGAAGAATTGATGAAGGGGGAGGGAGGGCAGATGAAAGGAGGGCATGACCATGAGGAAGGGAAGACGAGGTGACGAGGAGAGGGAGGAGGGATAATGCACACCCAAGACTCATCAACAATATTGTAATACACCCTCCCTCTAAATTCCCTCTTCATATGCACCTACAAAGATTTATTTACAGTGAAGGAAGTGACTCGTTGGAAAGCCGTTTTAAAATCCTGAACTGTGCCACGAAACCATTCGTGGTACTTCAACGCAACGAATCACCGCTACTGTTTCGTCTTGAGGATCCTGAACCGTGCCAGAACACAATTCCTGGGACTTCAACGAAGCGAACCAACGTAATTGCTGTATCCTGTCAATCCGACATCGTGCCAAAACAAAGCTTGTGGGACGCATGCCATGATAATCCTGGAAACTCTTTCAACGAATGTGCGCGGCGCTGAAGCGCGAACTACATTTTGCAAAAGAACCGCCCTCATTCCGTGATGCTCTCAAATTTCTTCAAACGAATATGTGCGGCATTCAAGCGAGAACCGCATTTTGAAAACGAGCCGCCATCAATCCGCGGAAATCTGGCGCAAATTTGGAAAAAATGCGCCCGGCGCTAAGGCGAGAACCACGTGTTGAAAACGACCTGTCCTCCATCAATGAAACTCTTGCATTGTTCAACGGACGGATGTGCGCGGGGCTCAGGCTAACATCATTCTTTGAAAACGACCCGCTCTCCATCCGCGACACTGTTGCCAAATTTAAACGTCACGATCATCAATGATGAGGAAACCTCAGGCGAAACGACTGGCCCGCTCTTTCGACCGGCCTCGAGATGTGACAGGGAGGACTTAGTCAGAAGGAAAAGAAATGGAGAAGGAGTGGACGGTGAGGGCGCAAGGACCCATCACGCTGCTGGTTCACACCTGTATCCAACTTTGAGTGGAGAGAAATCGAGGGGAGGGTTTGGTGGGCAGGATCATCCCATTGCCTGTTTGAAACTCTAAACTCAAAGGGTCACTAGGGCTCAGGAATAACCAAACAGACCCTCCAGAGGAAACGCAAAACAGCCGAAAAGAAAAAACATCAACCGATCTTGATAGTTTTGCAGCCAATGGTGATGTGTTTTGTTGGTTATTTGGCGCTTGTTATGGCCAGGCAGGAAGGTCCAGGGGAGGCAACAAAGACAACCCTATGTCCAAGGTCCCGCAACAACAAGGGTTTCTTGCTAACGAGGACACTCGCATCCCCCTAACCACTGCTGCGAACCACTGATGCCATGGTTCGAACCACTTTCACCTCTCCGTTCTCTCCCAGTGGATCTGGCAATGTTCCTGTTCTCGGGCGGAAGCTAACGGGAGAATGCATGTGTGAAACCAGGTGCAAGACAATTGCCCTGAAGAGGCCCGAAACAACCACGCCAACTTCAAGTGTGATCAAACAAAGAATTCCTCTCCCCCTCCCCGTTTGATTCCTCGCCATCGCAGTCCGGCCGTTTGATGCCAATGTTTCTCCATCCTTCGTTCTCGCTCACTGGATCTGGCAATGTCCCCGTTGGCAGTGCACCCGCCTCCAAGGCCCCCTGATTCACTCCATAATCCACTTGGAGCTCGCTTCCTGAAATCGTCGTACCTGCCTGACGCATGCAGGTGCGCCCTGGTGCATCACAATCTTTTCTCTCCTCCTCATCGTCATCCATGTCCTTCTCCACGTCCTGCTCCTTGTCGTCCTTCTCCTCCACATCCTTCTCTCCCCGCCACCCTCCTCCTCCCCCCCCCCCCTCCCCTCCCCCTCCCCCTCCCCCCCCCCCCCCCCCCCTCCCGCTCCCCCTCCCTCCCCGTCCCCTCCCACTCCACTCCCCCTCCCTCCCCTCCTCCTCCTCCTCCTCTCCTCCTCCTCCTCCTCCGCTTCCCCATCCCCCTCCCTGTCCTCCTCCTGATCCTGCTCCTGCTCCTGCTCCTGCTCCTGCTCCTCTTCCTCCTCCTCCTCCATCTCTCCTGTGGCCCACGGTATGGAGCTGGCAAATTGGGGGGCCTAAGAGCCATAGGTGATTTTTGTCATCATCCGTCTTGTCAACGCCATTTCTCCCTCCGCGCTAACTTTACCGAAGAAGCCACGCCAAGGTAGGGCGAAGTAATGCTAAGCGCACAAGCACTGCTCTGGATTGCAGCAGATTTGGGCGAACTCAGCCCAGCCGAAACAACCTGAGCCAGGAGAAACAGCTGTTCTTAGCTGAGCTAAACCTGCGCTGCGCGAGGATAATCAACACCAGCACCAAACTCTGTTGAGCTTCGCTACGCTAGCTAGACCAAGCTGAGCTGCCATTCATCAAGCTGGCATGTACTCACGTAGGCCAGCATAGGTCAAGCCAGGCCACGCTAAGCTAATACTCTTAATGTCGATAAGCCGCGCCAAGCTACGACAGCCTAAGCCACGCTCAATTCATCTACTACTTGTGATATACCCACGTAGAGCTACGGAAGGCTGTAAGTAACACTCATCACTCGCTTCAGGACCGCAGCAGGAACCACTACAAGACGCGTTCTGTATATTTTGTGAGAACCGCTCTGGGAATGGCTCGAATAATATCCACGAGATTGCTGTAATAATCATTATGCAACTCGCCGCAAGAACCATGGTCCAAACCTCGATGCCGATACGCTCGCAATGACCCAAACTTGGAGAGTATGTGGCTAATCGAAACATGTGCCAGCACATCTGCGAGGATATTACTCTAGGGTGCCGACACATCGTCCAAACAAAAGCCGCGGCCGGATACGCTCCGGCATGGCAGGCGCAGCCTGTGCTCGACTAAGAGCCAACACCTCTTCGTCAACACTTTCTTGTGCACGTGTACGCATGCGAATGCGTCCTTGTCAAGCTCGAACTCTTCGACTTCCTGTATTATCTTGTCCGGGATCTTTCTGCCCTCCCCTGCCCACTGTCGCCCCCTGTAAACTTCACCTTTGCACGGGCAATATTGCGATGAACGACCCCGTCGCAAATTCTTGTCACTCTGTCAGCAGCGACCGCGCATCGCCATAAGTCAGCGAGCTCCGAAACGTCTGATCACCAAGTCAGCCTGACGGCCCCCAGGCCAGCCTGCTGTAGGCGAGCCCGAACGAGGATACATGGCTTGGGAAAACATGCGAGGCGAACGGTGTGCGCGTACACCTCCCTTGACTCGAAGGGCCAACAATACCCCACGAAAGAAACCAAGCGAGAGACAGCGTGGACGCAAGCGAAGAGCAGGAGGGTCAGGACACATGAAAAGATGGAACGGAGAGGGGAACAGAGATGGCGGATGATGCAGAGGCGATGTGCGGCGGAGCTCGCGAAGGAAGCTGGAGAGGAGGAGGACCACATCCTCAAGCCTTTTGAGCATGTGCCACCGCTCCTCTACGATATCGGCACCAACGTTTAACAATAACGCGTCACAACCGTCGCTCGAAATCGACGCGGGGACTCTTGAACGTTGATGTTTCGAACGCAACTGTTTTTAGAAGTGGATTCGCAATATCGCGACACCTACCTAGTCGTACGCGCCATGACTTCGATGCTGAGCCGAAATCATCTGGCGACGTCACGTGCTACACCACTGCGACAAGAACGCAACACAGAAAGCACGCTAACCAGGCCATCACCTGGTGGCCGTCGGCTAGGCGCGAGCTGAAGGCCATGGCCCACCTGGTGCTGTCGATGGAGTGCGTGCTGAATGCCCCCGCGGCGCCGCTGGTGTTCTCGTCCGACGCCGAGGGCACGAACGAGGACGACTTCGGCGGCTACGGGATCGTCGGGACCGCTGCGGACCTCGACGTACGCGAGGAGCTGGTGGCCGCAGGGACGCTGCCTGGCCACACCGTCGCCAGGCAGGACGGCAGGGCGTCCACCTCAGCAGGGCCGACAAAGAGATCGCGAATCGCATCGCGGTCTCCCGGGTCCCGAGGAGCCTCCTCGAGAAGCCCGACTGCGACTGGACCGAGCTGGGATCAGGGCGATGGCAACGCCCAGACCACATCACGCTGGGCGAGGGCAGGGCAACGCTGAAGTTGCTCGCCGCGCTCAGTCGCTCCCCAGGGGCGCATGGCTACTTGGTCGCCAACCTGGAGGACAACGAGGGCCTCTCAGCGGCCATGGCCAAAGGGCGCTCGTCGGCAGCAGGGCTCAACTTACTTCTTCGACGACGAGCTGCTCTATGTTTGGCTACGGGTATCATGTTCGCATGTTCGTGCTGCCCTGGGTGGACACCAAGCACCAGGCAGCAGATTGGCTGTCACGTCGTAAACGAGGTGGCGTGGGCCGCGGCGCCTGGACCACCACCAAGCTGCGCGGATCAAGCCGCAGACGATCGAGACGTACAGGCGGGAAGCCCGGTGCTTCACAGCTTGGGCCATCGCCAACCACCTTAAACCCGTCGGCCCGGACCAGTGGGACGACGCGCTGGTGGAGTACAAGAATGCATGCGAATCCTGAATTATTGACACCGCCCAAGTTCTGCAATCTCTTGGCGGCGGTGGAACGGTTTTTCCCCAGAATGAAAGGCGAGCTGAAGTGGGCAGACGCGGTTCTACGAGGCTGGGAGAGGTCACGAGTGATAAAGCACACTGTGCCGCTGGGGAAGGCGCCTGGCAAGCTTTCGAGCATCTACCTGGCGGCGGCAGGGCACGTGAGGCTCAGCTTAGGCTTGGTTCTGCAGTGCCACACTGGGCTCAGGCCGTCGAAGATACTCGGCCTGCGCCCGCGACGCATTTCCTTCCCTCATCATCGTGCTATCGACGGAAAGTGTGATCCGGTTGTCCTGGCCCTGGGAGTGCGGTTCGGTACGAAAGCGCAGCGGCCCCAGGTGGCCATGCCCCCAGGACGTCACGCCGACATCCTCGAGGCCTTCTGGTATTGGGTGCAGCAGACCCCTCATGATCAACCTCTTTTTACCGCACTTAGCTCAAGGCAACCGAAGCGGCGCTGGGACTTACCGTGAGCTGGGGCCGACATAGCCCGCGCGCCGGCTGGGCTACCGACTCCCGCGCCGAGGGCATCCCGTTCTCCGAGATCCGCGAGGGCGGCCGCTGGGTGAGCGACTTCAGCCTCAGGATCTACCTCGACGTGCAGTCGGCCAACGCAGTACTGACCGACCTGCTCACCGCGGGCCACGAGAAGCAGCTGCGCTGGGTAGCCGACGGCTGGAGACAGTACGTGCGACCAGAGCTACTGCGGGCCCCATACTGGTGACCATGGCGCCGCAAGTGGGCAGCACGTTTGTGGGCGGCGTGTACACACCGCCGGCCTCCGCGAAGAGCTTCACGCCTCCTACGGCGAGGAGCTCTCGCACGGCGTCGCCCGCCCCCGGAGCGCCGAGGTCGCCAGGCGCCAAGGCGACCTCGCCAGCTTCGACGCTACCCGCAGGACCGACGCCACCGTCGTCCTGGTCGCTGGTGGGGACACCTTTCGGCAGCGTGGCAGTGCCCTCGCCCTGGAGCGTGCCGGCCAGTGGGCTGCCGAACCCGTTCGCAGCCGCTACTGAGGGGGAAGCGGCGGCGCCGACGCCCGCGCCGCCGCCGCCTGCGCCGAGGCGACCCCGCCCCTCGCCGTGGCGGAAGAGCCTTGCTGGCCTGTTCAGCGTGGGCCGCGCCTGGTGGCTGTCGCAGGGGGCTGTGCTGTTGCTGGCGCCGTGGAGTAGCCCGTCGAGCTTCTCGCCCATGCTGGCCAAGGGCGTGGGCGCCGTCATCAGCCTGTCCGAGGACATCGCCAACGCTGGGGGTGTTTTCACGCGGGCGGCCTCCGACGTCACAGTGCTGGTGACGGATGTCGCCGTGGCGGTGGGCCGCGGCTCCCTGTCGGCCTTGGAGGAGTCCTGGAAAGGTGTGGACCTCCTCAATGCGTCGGTAAATGCGTCAGGGGGCCGCTACATTATGTTGCACGGCTTAGGTGACTCTGCTCAGGCCTCCGCGATGTCCGACGCCCTACTCCAGCTTCCTGCTGAACGGGCCGCCGAAATTTGGAAGGCACTTGATCAGGTTACTAACCATCGCAAAATCAGAGCAGAAGTATGTGGCGATTCACCGGTTTGGTCTTTGAGTTTGAGGTCACGCTTCTTTCATTGTACTTAGTGGGTGTAAGATTCACTTGGTCGGCTCTCCATTTCACGCCTGTGTGGGCGAACCCAATTTGGGAATGGCTCGGAGCCGACGTGAGCGCGCAGCTGGAGCCTATTTCAGATCGTGCCAGGTCGTGCGCACGAGCGGCAGTCGACCTGAAGTGGCTGCGCGTGCCCCTCCGCAAATCCGACATTCCTGCCGGAGTCTACCCGCCCTTGTGGCTTCGATTCTGGATGCAAGTGAAGTCTTCTTTCAAGTTCGCTCGCTTAGCTGGCGGGGATGGGCTGTGATGGTCATTAACCTCGAGATGCAGCATGATGTTCACAAGTGGCTTTGGAATTCAGTGGAGCGTCAATCAGTACCATCACAGCCCGAGGGGAAGCACTGCTGGGACCAGAGTGTTACTTATCATTTCAGTTCTTTGTGTGGTGCTGGCCTCCCGCTCGCGGGCCAGGTGCTGCAATCGAGAGAGTTTGAATCGTGTGATCACGCATCCTGCTGCTGATAAGCTACCTTCGATCGTCATCATCATGTCCCTCCTGCTTTCGAAGGCCTATTCCGACGGGCTTCGCCCTATCGCATGTCTGGCCGTCCTGGGTGGGTGGGCGGGAACAGATACCGGATCAGCCTAACACGTATGAGCCACATTCGGATGATGGTGATGATGATGATGATGATGATGGTGGTGGTGATAATGATGATGCTGATCATGATGATGATGATGATGATGACGATGATGATAACGATGACGATGACGATGATAACGATGACGCTGACGCTGACGCTGATGATGATGATGATGATGATGATGACGATGACGATGATGATGATGATGATGATGATGATGATGATGATGATGATGATGATGATGATACTGGTGATGATGACGACGATGATGACGACGACGACGACGAAGACCTGTACAAGCCCAAGACGCATCAACGATGTTTGAATTAACCTGCCCCTCCAAATTCTCTCTTCATGGGTCCCTACAATGATTTGTTTGTTTGCCGTAAGTGCTCCATTGGAGACAGCTGTCGGAAACTCCCCAGAAGTGCCAAAGCGCCGTTCATGGGAGATCAGCGCAGCGAATCAACGTGTCTGTTGCATCCTGCTAATTCTGAATTGCACCAGAACATCATTCCTGGGGCTTTAACACGGCAAGCCAACGTGACGATTGCGCCTGGACAAACCCAAATCGTGCCATCACACCATTTCTGGGACTTGACCCATACGGATCCTTGGAACCACCGCAATATGTTCGAAAGAAAATGCGCGGCACCAATGCACGAACCACATGTTGAAAAGGAACCGCACCCCATCTTTGAAACTGCTGCAAATTTTGACGAATATCCACAATTTGAAAACGACCCGCTCTCCATCCTTGAAGCTGTTGCTTTTGAAACGAATGAGCGCGGCGCTAGGGCGAGAGCCACATTAAGAAAACGGCCCGCCCTCAATCCTCAACACTGCTGCAAACTTTCAAGTCGAATGTGTGCGGCGCCAAGGCGAAAACCACCCGCCCTCTCCATCCGTGAAACTGTTGCAAGCGTCAAGCTTCAAAATCACAAGCGGTGAGAAAGTCTCAGGCGAAACGCCTGGCCCGCCCTGCCGACACGTCTGGGGTGCGACAGGGAGGAGTTACTCATAAGGGTAAGGAATGAAGGTGGAGGAGGAGGAGGCATGAGGGGTGACGAAGATGAGGATGAGGAGGGAGGAGGATGAGGAGTGACGAAGATGGCGATGATGACGATGGAGACGGAAACGTTCAGAGAAAAAGGATGGTCAGGATGATGGCGAGGAGTGAGGAGTGAGGGGGGACCAGGAGCAGGATGGACGAAGAGGAGCAGGAGGTGGAGGGAAGAGGCGCCGCCCCGAGGCACTGCTCAGGAGTGGGCAACAGAACAGTCGCGGCTCGCCGGCGCCAGAGGAGAGGAGGCCGCCTGGGCGCAGGGCGATGCGGGGGCCCGAGACCGCCGCGCGCCGCGGAGGCACCACGACCGCCCACGGCCCCCGAGCGCCGACGCCCGACCCAGGGCGGCAGACCGGCCCCCGGGACGAGAGAGCGCCGAGAGCTCCTTGATGGGGGGGGCAGGCGTCCTGAACACGACGACGGCGGAAGCCCAGGTGCCCGAAGTGGAGGGGGGGGGCGGCGGAGACCGGGCCCGGTGGCCTCACGAGCCGCTGGAGGTGCTGAGCAGGGAGGCGCGGTTCACGGTGCCCTTGTCGTGGAGCACGGCCTCGAGGGCGTTGCCGGCGTTCTGCACGTTCGACTCGGCGGAGTGCTTCTGCATCAGCTCATTCACCAGCTTCTTGTCGGCGGCAGAAGGGGGCAGGGCGAAGGGGGGCGGCCCTCGCAGAAGGCAGGAACTTTCTGGGCAGACAGGGTCGGCCCTCTCTCAAAGGTATCCGGGAAGTCTTCTTGCGATAGAGCGCAGCAAAGCCTCCACGCCAACAAGGATAAGGGATCCGTGGATCGGCCGCGCGGGCGCCAGATCCATGGATCGAGGAAGGTACCCCCCGACAACATGAAGCCAATTCCGCCTCATCTGGCGACGGAGCGCGTCGAGTCCGCGTGGAAACGGGGCCCGTCACGAATCCACGTTGCCTCAATCCGTGTTTGCGCTTCCTGGAAGCGAGGCGGGGTGCCCTCTTGGAAGGACTGCCCCCTCGCCCTCCCCCCCCCGCTGCGCGCCGCCGGTCTCCCCCACGAGGGCACGGAACTGGGCCGTGCTGTCGGCGTTCTTGTCGACGAGGTTGCGCAGCAACCACAGCGCCTGCTCCACGACAGCAGGCGCCTCCGCGTGCCAATCCAGCGCGATGCGCACGAGGTTGACGCCCTCCGCCTCGGCCACCGTCACCTGATTCTCCGAGCTCGAGGCGCACATGTTCTTGAGGCCCCACATTGCGTGCGCCTGCAAGCCTGGCGATGGAACGTGCTCTCTCATGCAAGTCAGCAGCCCAACAAGGGCATCTGCTTATGGTTCTCGGGGTGTCCGTAGGCCAAGTGGCAGAGAGCGCAACATGCCTCGTTCAAGAACCCTGCGTCGCCCAGGTGCTGCCTTATCTCATGGCCTCCAGGATCCGCTCGGCTCCCCCAGCATTCGCAATCCTAGTCTGGTTCGACTGGTTGGGCGTCAGCATGCGCAAGCACGCACAAGCCGCCTCCTGCACGCGCGCGTCGCCCATCGAGGCCGACATCGCCTTCAGGGTCGCGCTCACCCCGCCGAGAGCCGCGATCTTCGTCTTGCTCGAGGTGCTGTTGGCCGCCAGGTTGAACAGGGCCTCGCACGCCGCGATCTGGAGGCTCCCGATCTGCAGGCTGCCTGTCATCTCCATCGCCCGGTCCACGGACCTGCAGCCGCCAGAGCCGGTGACCTTCAGCGACTCGGCTGGGGTGGCCGCCGCTGCGCGCAGTCAGCGGATGCCGCTCTCCTGCAGCGCGGCGCAGCCCGGGCCGTTATGCACCTCCATCGCCTCGACCACGGCCTCCACACAGCCGAGGGGCAACAGCTCGCCCTGGGCGCCCTCCCGCTGCAGCTCCTCCAGCCGCCCGAGGCCTGCCAAGCGCACGTCGATGGTGACGAAGGCCGCCATCGCCAGCAGCACCTCCTGCGCCCGCATGCCGGGCACCTGCCCAAGCAGCAGCTTCAGCTGGGCCACCTCGTCCACCTCCTCGACGGCCGGGGGCGGCGCGAGGTCGCCCCTGGGCTGCACGGCGCCGTTCGCCTGGGCCCCTGGCCTTCCTGGCGGCCCGCGCCCGCGCCTCCCGGCGGTCGACCCCTGCCGCGGACGTGCAGCACGCGCCCATGGCCTCGCCTCGGTCCGGGCAGCTGGCGGGGGCGGCTCTGCAGGGGAGGCGAGGAGCGCGCTCGGGCTTAGCACGGCTTGGACCAGCAAAATAGACTGCGGGGAGGGAGGGCGGGGGAGGTAGAGGTGGTGCAGGGTGCAGTTGGGTCTGGGCTTCGAGCCTCTTGGCGCGATCCGAGGAGACACCGCCGCCGCCTCCGCGGCTTCCACCAGAGGGCCGAGCATGATGACAGAAGCCCAGCGCCTTCCTAGCGTCTTTCTGGCAGCCCTTTGCCAGCTTGGAGGCCATCGCCTCGGCGTCGGCCTGCTCTGCCAGGAGCTCTTCTGGGCACTCGCCGCCATCGAAATCGGCGGCCATGGCCTCATGATGGTCTCCGTCCGTCTCGTCATCCGCGATGTGAGCTCCCGGACGTTGCGGTGCTCTGATCCAATTCGTGTGTGCCTCCACGGAGTCAGCGTAGTTGTCGAAAGCTTTGGCATTCCCCACGCCAACCTCGGCTTGCTTCTGCGATACTTGCCTTGAATATAGTACGTGTCATGGGTTGGCGTTTGGCACTCTGGCCTCGTGATTTGGATGCAATTCTGTACACAACATGAACAGCCACACGAGAGCCTCATCCAGGAAAGTGCTCGACAACGTAATCCCATCAGCCCTATGGGTGGAGATGGCAAAAAGTGCTTTCTCTTCCAACCTCCTTCTTCCCCTTCGGGGAAAACTTCATCACTGCTCCTTAACACTTCATCCCCTATTCGACCAGCTGTCGACCAGACTCCATGCCGACCCCCTCCGCCATCGGTGTCTAGTATCAGCCAGCGCAGGCTCCAAAAATATCAAAAGACTTAAATGAAGTGGACTGGACTGGGGTGGACTGGACTGAACTGGGGTAGACCCTACTCCACTCTACTCCACTCTACTCCATCCTTCCCCACTCTGCTCTACCATCTACTCAACTCTACTCTGCTCTACTCTGCTCTATTCTACCATACCCTACCCTGGCCTAGCCTACGTTACCCTACCCTACTCTACACTAGTATACTCAATCCTACACTACTCTATTCTACTCTACTCTGCTCTACACTACTCCTACACAAA